GAGGCTTCAGAGGCCTCCTGGGGCTTTCATTCCGGGTTTTTTAGTTTGGGTTTAGGGGGTTTAGGGTTTAGGAGTTTAGGGATTTAGGGTTTAGGGTTTAGGGTTTAGGGTTTTTGGGTTTAGGGATTTAGGGATTTAGGGTTTAGGGATTTAGGGTTTAGGGTTTAGGGTTTTAGGTTTTAGGGACTTAATAAGTACAAAGGGCTCCTTATTCAGGGCTCTTTAAAGGGTACCATGAAGGGTTCTTTTGGAGTACCATAAGGGGTTTAGGGTTTAACTTACCCTAAGGGTCTATGTATCCAAACAGTATATGGGTAGTTCTCTAAATTGGGGTCCCCTTTTGGGTCCCCAATATAGTACGGCACCCTTATAATAAGGACCCTAAAAGGGACCCTAAACCCTAAACCCTAAACCCTAAACCCTAAACCCTAAACCCCCCCAAAGCCCCATATACTTTGGCCCTAAAGTCGTCCCCATATAGGTACTTTGGGGCCACAGTCTCGTGGTTTAGGGTTTAGGGTTTAGGGTTTAGGGTGTAATCTTGGGGCCTTAATAATTACCAAGACTATTTTTTGGGGGGTCTTTATTAGAGTTCTAGTATAATGGGCCTCAAAACCCTATTCTAATTATTAAGGCCCCTACATTAGGGTGTAGGGTTTAACTTACCCTAGGGGTCTATGTATCCAAAAGGGCTCCTTTAAGGGTTCTTTAATCCAAATAGTCTATACTGTGGCCTTAAAGTAGTCTCCACAATGGTATTTTGGGTCCAAAGTATATTTGGACCCTAAGGGGTTGGGGTTTGGGGTTTAGGGTAAGAGGGGCTTGAAGGGCACTAGTAAGTCGGGTTTGGTGATTTAGGGTGCAGGATTTAGGGTTTAAGGCGTGGTACTGATCACCTCCGTAGGTATACCGCTAAACCCAATCAACAATGATTTATGTATTTATTTGTTTGATAAGTTTGTCTGCTTGTTTGTTTATACAAAACACACATATATATATATACACACACATGTATATACATATATTATATATAAACCACGCCTATCTACGACGTCTCCTGCTCCTTTAAGTGGGGCTTGGGAGAGGCTTTTGTCAGGACTACTGCTTCCACTCAAAGTGGACTCTTTTTCTCATCTAAGGGCCCTAGACCCTAAACCCTAAACCCTAAACCCTGAATGCTTGAATTCAGGGTCTTGGGCCTTCTGGGAGCTGATCCTCATCCTAACTTGGGGTTTTGGGGTTTCGGATGTTGGGGTTTGGGGTTTAGGATTTAGGGTTTGGGGTTTAGGGTTTGGGGTTTAGGGTTTGGGGTTTAGGGTTTGGGGTTTTGGGGTTTCGGATGTTGGGGGTGTTCGGGTCTAGGCTGAGGCTTTGGGATTCGAGCCGGGACGACGGCCCGTCGTCTACAGAAGGCTTATTCTCGCTATTTCGCAGGATTGAATTATCCGCTGACCTGCGACGCTTCGCACCCGGACACGCTATTTCGCTTGTAGTCGTGTGGAGTGGCCTGTGTTCTCTGCACAGTCGCTGTGATGTTGGAAACCCTAAACCCTAAACCCTAAACCCTAAACCTGTTGGAGTGCAGATTGGGTCAGGTTCGGCACGTGGCATTGTGCTATCAGAACAGAGATCCCTGAAGCCCGTACTTGTGATGTTTTTGCGCTTATAGGGTTTAGGGTTTAGGGTTTAGGGTTTAGGGTTGATGTTTCGGGGGAGAAAGAGAGAAGCGGTGTTGTTTCCGGCGAAACTGCCGCACTGCTTTTACCTTCCTGAATCGGTTTCGGACAACTTTGCCGCGCTAGAGCCCAAGTCCACACTACAGCCTACAACTGGGGTGTTCTTGGAAATTATTTTTAAGTTTTAAGGACTATAATCCCTATATAACCATATATAACCCATAAGAATTTAATGTTTATAGGGCTTCTGAATCCGGCCCAGACAAGCCTACGCCCCTTTTCCTCGCTCTATATGGCATTGAAAGAAATCCTGCGCCAGGTATGTGAGGATGTGGATCCAACGAGGATTCCAGGAGCCTCGGGCCGTTTGATACGGCTGATGGACAAAATCCTGCATGACCTTATATACCTAAACTATGGGATTTATGGTCCTGTACTATATTAGGGTCATGCAGAATTTTGCCCATCAACAGTAGTTTCGGGCTTCTGGTTTTGGGGGTTGCAGGTCGGATTAACGGCCTTGCAAGTTCGAGAAAGTATACGAGGCTGCGACAACGGACAGCGGGGGTCAGCATTTCTGCTGCCGTTACGTATTCTGTGCATCCAACCGAAAATTTCAGTACTGACCTACATCTTAGCTCGAGCCCTGAACTTTCTGAAGCCTTGAAGCCCTGAACCTTCAATCAATAACCAGGGTCTCGAAGAGTTTATGCCGTCGGCGCGTCGTCCCTTGATCCTGAGATAACCCAGAAGAGAATAGAGGTGAGAATGCTTGAAAATAGGAACATCCTCCCAATAGTCGGGCGTAATTAGCATAGACCAAAAACCCAGCTCTTCACTATTCAGATCAGACTATCCAGGCTGCTGATCCTTTAGTAGAACATCTGAGTCACTGCAGCCGCGCAGGACGCTGAAACCGGCCAGTGGGGTACGACGATCCGAGATTTTGGCGTTCTTCAGTTCTCGTGACCTGGCTGAAGGTACGGTTTAGGGGCCTAAATAATTACGAATACTATTCTGGGAGTTCCGTATTATGCTTAGAGTATAATGGGCCCCAAAACCCTATTCTAATTATTAAGGCCCCTACATTACGGTTTAGGGTTTCGGATTTTGGATTTGGGAGTCAGGGGATTGCACAACTTTTCTTGTGTAAATTTTGCGTTCCTGCAATTCTGTTTTGAAAGAGACTTCGGGCTATTGTTTGTCCTGAACTTGGCGGGGTGTGAGTGCGGGTCGAGAAGTCTTTTCAAATAAGCATTTTGAACTTCGAAGGTGTGGTGGCGTGTGGGCTACAACCGCCTGCAATTCAGAACCTACAAAGTCACAAGCGCTCAGTGTGCGTTGGATCTGGTGCTCCCCAGCACTGAGTCATTAGCATTTAGGCCAAGTTGCCTCCTGGCGTCGAAGGCTTAAGGTTTAGTGTGATGGTCTATCCTAAACCCTAAGCCCTAAAACCCTAAAGCCTAAACCGATTCAGGGTCTAGGATTCAAGGTTAACGTGTCTTTATCTTGACGGCTGGAGGTGCGGCAATGTAGAGCCCTGTAATGAACCTCTCCTGTGATCCTAATACAAAGCAAAGGCTCTTGAATAATGCTACTTATACTTGAGCGGGCTAGTTTTGATTCAGCGATGGGCGATGGGATTTCAGCGCAACATCTGCAGTTTTTCGCAGGGCAGCCAATACCCTCAACCCTAAACCCTTTGTGTGTTTTCTGATCGCAGGGCCTTAGCTCAGGGTCCGCGTTGTGGACAGCCCTGTTTGAGCTAATGGCGGGGCCTTACAAAGGGTTTTGGGGTACGTTATCGAACACGTATGCTGAGGAGCCCTAGGAAAAGAGTGGTAATCATTCCGGCCTCTATACAAGGCGCCTTTTTGGGACTTAAGCTCTATCCCTAGAGCCCTAGAGCGCTGATCTTCAGAACGTCAGCACATGACATGGGTTACAACCTTTCCACACTTCCACGGCCCAAGAGAAGACACCTCGATGCAAACTCTGCTCAGGCAGCATGATCTGACAGTATGATGTTAGTGCCTGAATGGGATGCGAATACTGATACCTACCCAGCGTCTCAGCGCTTGTCGTTGCCCATCAGAGGGTTTCCGAAAATAAGGGACCCTAATATATAGCACCCTAAATAGTAGGATCCTTATTATAAGGACCCCCCAAAATTAAGGTACCCCTAATTTTCGGAAACTCCCATCAAGCCCCAGGATGATTTTGTGCCAACCGATTCTCACCGCCACTTCCTGTTATCACGGGTCCGGGGGACCTCTTAACCATATCTCAGGGCATTTTCAGGTGGGTAGGTACCGTTATAGGAGCCTTATAGAGGGTCTATAAACCTTATAGAAGCCTTCTAAACGCCTTATAGACCCGAAACTCCCCACCTCTAGTTTCTTTTAACTATCTACGAAATCGGTTTCAGACCAGCAGCCGACAGAAGCCCCCTGGAAGACCCGACTTGAACCCTGATCCGGGACCCTGAACCCTAAACCCTGAACCCTAAACTCTAAACCCTAAACCCTGAACTCTAAACTCTAAACCATAAACTCTAAACTCTAAACCCTGAAACCCACGAACTCGTCAGGAACATGGTCAGAGGAAAAGTCCCGGTGGTCGACAGCCGCTTCGACAATCCCAGGGTTTCTGCCGAAGATGTTTTTGCGGTGGACGCACATGCCGTGCTTAAGCTTAAATCCTGAACCTAGGGTTTGTGGCTTAGGGGTTGGCCCTAAGCCGTAAATCCTTCAGTGCTTGGAGGGGTTGGGGCCCAATTTTTCTCAGGAGGGGTCTTGAAGGGTTCTGGTTGCAGGGGGAGCTGGCCAACGAGATTCACGAAAGCAAGTAGATGCGCCAAATATTATGATACAGCTACGTACATTAGTCGCGTGTTTGGGTGTTACACCGGTTTCTGGGTTCAGAGGGTTTCGGGTTCAGAATTCGCAACAGCATCCCCTTCTAGTCCCTGAACCCTGAACTAAGACTAGGTGGCTTCGTGATGAGTTTCTGCGAAGCCCTAGCCCTAAAGGCCCCACCTTAGAGCCCGTTTTATGTATTTGTGAGCGACTTAGGGTCCGGCTTAGAGGGTCCGGGGGCTCTCGTGTCACTTAGTTTGGGAGTACAGGTAAAGCCTGTGGCTCTAAACCCCGAACCCTCAGCCCTAAACCCTAAAACTCTATACCCTAAACCCCGAACCCTAAGCCCTAAAACTCTAAACCCTAAACCCCGAACCCTAAACCCTAAACCCTAAACCCCAGCCTAAGCCTGAAAGGGGCCCCTATACCCGAAAAGACTCAACGCTGAACACGCCGAACCCTAAACTTCCTAATTACAGCCCCCCAAACCTGAAATTCCAAGCTCCGAAAACCCCGAGGTATGGTTATTTCTAGAACGAAGCCTACAGGCCCAAGAGCCCTCTAGACCCAGGTCTTTGGGAGTATCCAGCAGCCTGGACCGTGGACAACAACATGCCGGGGATCCCAGTCTTCTCGCGGTTTTCGTGGGCAGAAGACTTCAGGGTTTAGGGCTCAAGGTTTATAAGGGTTCAGGGTTCCGGGTTTAGGGTTCACTTTTGGGGGCTATTGGTTCAGGATTCAGTTCTGGTTTTAATTTCTAAGGGTTCAGGGTTTAGGGTTCACGTTTTGGGGCTGTTGGTTCTTCAGAGTTCCATTCTGGGCGCGTCAACCACGTGTAGGGTTTAGGGGTTTAGGGTTTAGGGTTCAGGGTTTAGGGTTTAGTGACAGGTGCTTCAACCTTGCATCAGAAGCTCTATAATGGGCCCCAAAACCCTATTCTAATTGTTAAGGCCCCTACATTATGGTGCCCAAACCTGAGTTCGGACCCGAAACTCCTGAACCCTAAGCCTCGAAATCCCGAACCCCTTAACCCCGACACCAAAAAAGGGTTTCGAAATCCCAAACCCTAAACCCCAAACTGGCCCTTAGCCCTAACCTAAACCCCCAACCCCAACTGCCCTCGGACGCGAACCCCAAAAGACAAACGCCTTCATGGCAGGAACACCGAATGGACTTCCCGATTCGGAGCTCTTGAGGCCGACTTGAAGTAAGGTTTGAGGTGTTGCTCGGCTGGTTGCGTTACGTCGTGATACGGTTGATGATATAAATCTTGCATTAACTTAAGGACCCTAAACTATGGGAATTCTGGTACATTCCTTACTATGGGTAATGCAGGATGTATACAATCAACCGTAGCTGGTGATGGTAGTTTACTGAATATTACCTTGCTGCAATCTGCATGGCCCTAAACCCTAAACCCTAAACCCCACCTTTGGCCTCCATCTCATTCAACCATGGTCAGGTCAACCCTCTGCAAAGCCCAAAACCCTAAACACCACACCCCTGAACCCCAGAACCCTAAAGCCCAAACCCTAAACCCCAAGGCCCTCAACCCTAAACCCTCAACCTTAAACCGTTTGGGGTTTAGGGGGTTGGAAGTGTCGTGGTTTACTTATCAATGTAAACCCCAAGCCCTAAACCCCTAAACCCTAAACCCCTAAACCCCAAACCCTCTTGGCCGGGGTGTGGGAGGAAACCCGGGCCCTTGAGTCTGACCTGCAGCCATCATTGGGCTTTGGCGAAGGAACCTAGATTAGGTTATTGTAGCAGGAATCGAAAGTAGATACTGATGGTTTTCTTAGTAAGGTAACTTACATTGAAGTCCTTCACGTGGGTCACCTCGGGCTTGAAACAGTCGACTTGCTTGCAAAGTTTCTGGGGTCAGTGTTGAGGGTTTAGGATGGTTCTCACCGGCTCCAAGGGTCGCTCTAACAATGTTGAACCGCACTAATTGCTATGCTGCAATGGCTAACCCTAAACCCTAAACAGCGCATTGCTAGGATTTCCGAACTTTCTTATGGGTAGTTCTCTAAATTCGGGCCGCTTTCAGGTCCCCCAAGTGCTACGACGGGACCCTAATTTAGAAAACCACCCTTATAAGGGCCCTAAATCAGGACCTTACCTCAAAAAGCTACCCTTATGGGTCCTGTTCAAAGCCTCAACGCCCTTCCTGTGGCAGGCTCAGCTGATTTACGACCTGGGCTACCGCAGAAATGTGCGCCCACTTGGTCGAGGGATTTGCAATAACATCCCTACTATATAGGGGCCTAGGGGCTGTAGTACCCTATATAGTAGGTATCCTGGGGGTTAGGGACATACTGGCAGCAATGTGCACAGCAAAAGAGAGTCGTCAACTGTAGTCATCGTCATGCTCTGCTTCCTTATCAAAACAGGTTGATGTGGGTAAAGGGCTGCAGGATTCAGGTTTGGGGTTACTGTACAGGGCTTGCAGTTTAGGTGTTTAGGGGTTTGGGCTGCAGGCTGGGGGTTTGCAGAAGCCTGGACAGTTGCTCACCCCACTGCAACGAGAACATCCTCATGCAGACTGGTCGTTCGTCGAGAGTTTCCGACCTGTTGTAACAGGGCAGAAATCGTTGAACCCTACATCAAAAGCATGAACTCCAGGCGGAAAAACGATTGCAAAGACATCGTGTACAAGAACAGCCGCACAACAAGCAATAAAGAGCGCGTACCATCATGTCCTAGGAACACGGCAAACCTCCAAGGCAAGAGAAACCCTCGAAGAACTTCATATAGTAACCCCAGGAACTCCTCAATACAGTAACCCTTACAAGAACCCAAGGATAGAAACTTTCAGTAACCCTTACAAGAACCCAACGATAGAAACTTTCAGTAACCCTTACAAGAACCCAACGATAGAAACTTTCTAAACCCTAAACCCTAAACCCTAAACCCTAATGCCAGGTAGCCGGCATGACCTGGTCCTTCGGTCACGTTGCAGGACGGGTCGACGTGCCGCGGCCGAGGAGCGTTATGCGCTTTGGGGTTTTAACTGGGCCATTTTTTAGGAACCCAAAAAGCACATAAGCATAAGCATTTTATAGGGATATCCCTACCTTATTGGGCTTCATTATAAGGGGGTTTATATGGGATATCCCTATCCTAATTTTTGCTTATGTGCTTTCGGGGGCCCTAAATTTTCCAGTCCTATAGCATTATAACTTTAAGTTCATCAGTATACCCAGGGGCTCAATTCATCGTATTATCTGGATGCAAGGGGCGTGTGGTCACAAGGGTGCAGGTGATCTACATGTGCAGGGGTTAAGGACGTAAACCTGGTAGTAGAGTAGGTAACCTTTAACCTTTTTCGGG